TGCATGCAGACACTGCCTCTGTAAAAAAGACGAATGTCAGAAGTTTAACATCCACCGTCTCCTTCCTCTCTGTTCCCTTGAGTCTGAATGCCAGCGGGGATGGGATACTTAAATGAGCAGGGTCGAGAGGTTGTGGATCTACAAGCTGCAGATACGCATCTCTCATCCTCCAATGCTAATCAGAGTCCAGTGTAGTTCCGATGGGTACTTGTGCCCAGAGGATGTGAGATAGTGATTTCAGCACCCACACAAACAAATGGCATACTGTAAGTCATTTAAGTTGTATCAGGCAACAAACTGTGTTCTGAAGATTGCCCTTTGGTTTTCCATTACAGAAACTTGTAACGACCTGTAACCCAAGACTTTCCATGAACTTTGAAAATGTGTTGTTTTCCTTATGTATTCTAGAACTTGGGGCGTTTCAGAAATACGAGCGAGGGTGGTGCTACACGGCATGAGGAGTGTTAAATCACTCGATGCTTTTCTATAGGTCCAGTTTTCAGAGCAACAAAAAGTCATTGTTATGCAGGTCACAAGTTAGTTTCAAGTCTTTGCCCTCAAGTCCCAAGTCCTAAGCTTTACGTTCCGAGCATAGAGTGTATAAAATAAGGGACATAGCTTCATGGATGTCACCCATTGGTTTGTGGACTCCCGTTTTGAAGCCTCAAGTTTAGCAGTTCAGCCAACGCCATCATGGGTTTTTGGAGCCATATTTGGACGAGAGGGTGGAGCTTCACAGACAGCCTGTCACTCAAAGTGGTCCAGCCCTTATATATGTGTAACTTTAAGCCCTAATACAACCTAAAAGGGTGAGGTTTAAAAACATTCATCCCCCCATACAGTTGTCATGAATGTTAACATAAGCTATAAAGATATTTTTTTTTGTAACAGGCTGTTTATTTCTGCTGTAAAGTTGAGCACATTAACAAGTATCTCTGGGGATTTCTCTGTCTTGGAGCCAGCCTCAAGTGGCCATTTAAAACCTTTTACTGCCAAAGACTTTTCTGAGAAGTTGATTTTTCATCATTTTATTTTAATAGTAGGTTGTCTTTAACCATTAAGCGCTCACATGCAGTTTCTGGCAATTTTGCATTGTTTTATTTTTTAGCCTTGGAGACTGCCACTTGGTTTTGAGTCCAAATCAAGTCATAATGCACTCTTCACCAAATGTGATGTTAAACAACAGAGTAAAAATACATTCAGTTAACAAAAATCATGAACACTCAACACATTCTCACTCGGACCCTGTCATATATCAACTTTTAGTCATGAACTTTCCACGTCCACATATGGCGTAAAAGGTACGCTGGGTGTGTTGGTTGTTGACGTTCTGGGACACCGTGTCAAGTTCTACCTGTTACACGCATTGTCTTCTTTCAAAATACACTTCTGTTTTCACAGGAAATTTACTGTTCACATACAGTCTCTTTCAAAATAAATGCGCTATGTCAGTACAACAAAAGCACGTGGTTAGGTTTAGGAAAAAAGAACAGGGTTTGCCTTTGTAATCTCACGGAATGCAAACACTGCTCTCCCGGACCCATCCACCATCACTCCCACCCACCCCACTCGGACTTTCACCGCCTTATTTTTGTTCTTGTCCCGCTGCGTTTCCCCTGATGCTGCCAAGCACCGTTAAACTATGATGGCAACCAGCCCGCTATCATGTCGACGTTAAAGGATGGCTTTTTTCATCTGTGTCTGACGCTGCAAGTCACTGCCCTGGATTTTGATGGCTTCGGAGTGAGACCGGGTTGGTATGCTTTTTAAAATTTGTATTTATTTGTTATAATAGTCTGTTAAAAAGTCACTTAGCTGTTAAGCTGATGTTAGCTAAGTATTAGCATGCTAACTATGTCAATACTAGCCGCGACTTACCATACTTTTTGCATCGTCCAATGTCAAACGAAGTTGGAAGTTTTCTGTAAGTTTTGATCTGAATATTTTGTTTATATGTATGTAGTTTTTGCAAATAAAATTGTCTTTGATATCATTGTTTCTGATGGGTGCTGCGTAACATAAAGTTAGTTCGTCATGGTTCCCTTCTGCAACTTGATTGGATACTGTCGGATAGGTTCAAATACGTTAGATGATTCAGGAAGTGAAGGAAAACTCAGTTGATTTGTGGCACACTGTTTTTCATACTCTTTAATCGTTGTCCTTGGGGGACAGTATGAAGTATTTTCAAGTCAAAAGGCACAAGTCCAAGTTGGTGTGAAAGTCTAGTTGAGCTGCAAGTCTTTTTTGAATTTGTCAAGTCGCATCTTAAGTCATCACATTTGTGATTCAAGTCTGACTTAAATCCAAGTCATGTGACTCGAGTCCACACCTCTGCCAGTTTTCCCAATCTTCCTGTTTCCCTTTTCCCAGTTCTCACGAATGCAGCATTTGTTGATAAACCTCATTTTCCACAGCCTGTTTCAGCTCCCTCTTTCCCTCAAATGCTTATTAGTATCACTTCAAAATTTACATGTTGGGTGGTCTATTCAGCTTCCATTCTTCAATGTTAATAAGTGCCAGCACTGGGAGGGCTAGTTAGCATTGCTTGTTTTCCCTCAGTTCGGTGGTGCTGGGACTCTGACAGATAACAAACAGCTGCACCATAGGGGATGCAGCAAAGCAATGCATCACGGAAGCAACGGTCTAGTCACCCTGCCCTCCTTCTTCTTCTCTATATTCCCCTTTCATCCACTCTTCACAAATCCTGCTATTCCATCGCCTGTGTCATCCCTATAATTTGTATTTGTCAGTGTACGCCGCTCGTCTTTGAAGGCCTGCTGCGTCTTGCATGCAAGACAATATAAAAATACATCGGCAACTAGTGTTTAGCAAGTGGAGCAGTTCAAAGAGAAGATCAATCCTGCCTCATTTGCATATTCTCTGTATGTGAGGCACTGCCTAAGTGCTACAAGGTTACAATCTTTTCAAAAACCAAAGGAGCTCTGCCACCCTGAAAAGTACAAGTACTTAGATTAACAAGAATAATTGTTACGGATATCTCTTGGTGACATTGGTATAAGAGTAACCACTTAAAAGAATCTTTAAGATACTGGAAAAAAAAATATAGCTATGGAAAGAAAAACAAAACCCTGTGAGTCTATTATTATTATCAGTACAAAACTAGATACATGCTTCCCTAAAAGGCTTGCTTATAATTTATCATGGTAGCTCAGTACATGGCTAGCTACACCAAAGTGCTCTCTCTCTTTCTATGGAACAGACAGAATTAGGCCATGGAAACACCCTAAGGAGTCCAATTAAAGGCTCTAATATTAGCAAGTAACAGTAAAAACGGTGAGGTTAATAGCTATTTAGTTATCCAGCTTAATTACCAGCCTGCAGCTTCCTGCAGAGCTCAGGTTTGCACAGCAGCATGTTTAAAGACCTGTGATTCTATTAAGTACATTGTTTCTTATCCTGGTGTAGAGTACAGGAGGTGCAGATCTGGTCAAATATTAAAATTCAACCCTCCAAATTGTCTAATTTCTTCCTTTAAATGATTTTCTTTGTGTCACAAGGAGAAAAGAAAGTGAAATGATAAAAGGAGAGTGAGAAGGAAAGAATGAGACAGAGATACTTTAGAGATCGTTTTCAAGAGCGCCCATAAGGCATTGCCCATTACTTAGGTTGAGGAGTTTACAATGCCAAATGATTTGGCATTGACAGTTTTGCAGGGCCGTGTTAAAGGCTTGACATGTCCTCTGGCAGTTTAGCAAATGCTGATAAGGGGAAAGACAGTAGAAAGTTCTGACTGTACTATGTATGCTGCCAGCTCCTTGCTCTATGTCCTTGTCCAGCTCTGAGAGTTGGAGTGACAACCTTAAATGACGATGGTACTGATCTTAAATATAATGAAATGCGTTAAGAGAGGGAGCTGAAGAGGCTCTTCTTTGTGTAGCAGTCTTTGCCCCTCGAAGTCATGAAAGACTTGTTACTATGGGCAGCTTATGTTAGGTGTATAAACCAGCAAGATTATACCGGTAAGTGCATAAAAACATTGGGGATACCCTCTTTAATGGATGAATTCATTAATTACAGGCAGTACCCCTGGGTATCTATTAAAGGCAAACAATTAATCAGCCCACACCTTGCCAATTAGTTTCTGCCCATGCTTTTCTGATGTGTGAGATCCAGGGAAGTCATATTATTTGACTGAATAAAGATTAGAGGCATTTAGTGGAAATAGAAATGTGTTTATCTCTTTGAAATTCTCAGAAACAATAACATCGTACAACCTGCTGTAATCTGCTCCCACCTGAAGATCAGCTGATTACCAGCTAATTGAAAGGTGGCCAGTGACTCACAATGGTGTAATCACGAATTCAAATGTGTGTGACAAGACTTTGTAGCTCTGATAAGAGTGAAATGTGACATTTATTCAACCCAGAAGAAAATGATGGCATTGTACATTTCTGCAAACCACAACACTGATTCGCTCAGTGACTCTATTCATGAGCTGACTTTGTCGTTAGGGGTGGAGGGAATGTTTGCTGAGCTTCAGGCCACTGCAGACCATTGTTTGAAACCAACAAACATCGACAATGGTTGTCTTTTGGCAACCTTTTGTGGCTTTTCCACCAATGTTTGTAGCACTGAACCTAACCACCGAACCAGTGCTGTTTGAGCCACCAAACCTGGGTGTATTTCATAGACTTTTTCCCGCTTTCCAGTGGCCTTAGTGCCACCAAACATAGGTGTTTTAAACTAAAAATATGATCTTTTCTCAACCATAACCAAGCGGTTTTTGTGCCAAAACCTAACCACACCTTCATCTGTTGAGAAACATAAAGTTTCAACGTGTCCACAACAAAATCATGTACAAATGTAACGTATTCATGGTTTGCAGAAACGTACAATAGCAACATTTATTCTGGCGATTAGATTAGACATTTCTCAGGCTTTAAAAGTTACCACCTGCACTACGTATGGCCCCATTGCCTTTAGAAAAGCCTCAAAAAAGTTCAGTAGTTCACTTGTTTGTGTTTATGCATATTTTTCAGCGCTGCATTGAGGCCACAAACCTCCTGTTTCACCTAAATCTGCAGATCTGAAGCCTGAAGCCTTGTCAGGCCACCCCAGCACCTTGAAATGGTGAGTACTTTGCAACATGATGCATCGCTCTGCCAGGTGCATTCAAAAGGAACACTGTATGACAATGAAGGGATAAACCTAGTGTATAATGTAAATATATACTGTGGCATTTAAATGATCCCCACCAGGCATGAAGGAATCCAGTGTTATAAATCTGAGACCATCTAGTTCACTCATATTTGCCTTCTCCCCAGTCAGTCCCAGTTTAAAGTATTTTAGCACCTATCTCTGATGGCAACCACCGCTGTGGTTGCTGCAGCCAGTGTAACTACACTTATCATTGTAATAGTTTCAAACATCCCCAGAGAGAGAGAGATCCCTACAAAAGGAATTATCTGAGCAGCTCAGAGGTAGAGTGGGTCGTTCACCAATCGGAAGTGGTTCGATCCCCGGCTTCTCCTGTGTGCATGCCGAAGTATCCTTGAGCAAGATTCTGAACCCCAAATTGCTCCCGATGACTGTTCCATTGGAGTAGCAGGTGGCACCTTGTATGGTAGTCTCAGCTACCAGTGTATGAATGTGTGTGTGAATGGGTGAATGTGACTTGTAGTGTAAAACGCGCTTTGAGTGGTCGGATGACTAGAAAAGAGCTATACAAATGCAGGTCCATTCATGTTCCACTAAATCTGTTTTTTACTTGATTACTTGCCCTTGTGGTAGGTGAACACAGAAGTACTATTAGATGCAAAAACATGCTATCCAGTAGCAGCTAATTTTATTAAATTTTTATCATTCTATTTCCTCTTTAAGATACGCTGAGATTGAGAAGGTAACCCTCCCCCTAAGAGGAGGTCATTTGGATGTGTTACTTTCCAGGAGAGAACACTATTGGATTCAATTGGATTCTCCATTTGAGAACCCTGTCACCCCATGGACTGAATATAGATTATGATTTGACATGTTTTCTGTGATGTTCTTCCAATTATTGGATATAAAGTGAATGTTCATGATGTTCATTAAACCCTGACCCTATTTTATATGCCTCTGCTTGAAAATTGCATATCCATAATGAAATGAATATATCTCTGCAACCACAAGGTCTATTTGAATACTTTTGGTTTCATGGTAAAGGGAACACTTGTTATATGTGAGGAGTAAATGAAGATGGCACACAGCACAAATGAAATATTTTGAGGTTTGCCTAACAAAAAAAAAAAAAAAAAAAAAAAGAGTATCCCTTTGGAATGATGCAGCAGCAGCTCTAAACCTCTATCACATCATAGTACAATATGTGAACATTAACTCTGCAAAGGTTGATTCTGATAAATTGAAGCAGAACAATATAAGAGAGGTTTTAGTACAGAAAATTCAGGCAAGTTCTCCAAAACTGCACCATGTTTGCATGTGATTTTTGTCATGTACAATCCTATATCTTTAATTTTTTGTTTCTGTAAATCCCGACTGATGTTTAGGGTATACACATAGAACTGTCTGTTTCGTTTTTTTCCTCTATTTCCCACTCCAAACTGACCAATATGCGCCTACTACATTTGAACCTGAGTTTCTATTCTGAGCTTTGGAGGCCCTATCTCCATGACGGCTTGGCCGATGAGATTGACAGCACTGTAAGCCAGTCAGAGTCAGCAGATCGTGTTGTGGGGCGATGTCGGCTGCTGTGAGTGGTCATTGTTTTTGTTCCCCCAGAACCTTTTTTCCGCCCGGATTCATTTGAATGACAACTTCCGGTAGTATGTGAACGGAGCATGAATGAACAGCAGAATGCGCATTTTATGGTGAAATTAATAAGGTAAGAGCCATATTACAAATATATTTTGGCAAAGAGATTTCTGTTGTTGTTGTTCTTTGGGCTGTAGCTCTGTGATGGTTAAAGGGAGAGTGATTTGGAGTATACATGTGGAAAGAGTGGAGTCTCAGATTTCATTAGAGATGAACGGCGTGTGTTTTGAATAACGTGGTCGAGTTAGAGCCCGAAATATACCGAGTGGGTCAGGATATCGGTGCTGTTTGGAGTTGTTGGAGTTAGTTGTTGTTGTTTATTTAGTTGATGTTAAAACTGAGTTTGGGGCATGTAAATTTTTACAGCCTTGTAGCTGAGGTTCTGCTGTTAAATTTCATGGGCAACATCACTATATTCTTCTGATCAGTGTATTGATACACACCAGGCCTTTATTAGCAACCCCAATTGGGGGACTTTAGGGTTCAACTGGTTTTAAGAGCTGATGCCTTAACTTTTGCTATCTATCTATAAGCAATCAGTTTAATACTTTTGTATTTTAACATTTTTGAATATAGTGAATTAAAAAAATGTATTATACTGGAATGCTGTAGAATATTTAGTGGCTATAGTCGTTTGTTTTGATGACGTGATTGGCTGTGTCTCCTGAAAAAGATTTGGTTTAAAAGTACTGATTTGTTGAGGGCCTCAAAATTGTTTCTTTGCTCAACCTAATGGTGATCAGTGTACCTGTGTCTCAATATACTTGTTGATCTTGAAGAAGGCCCAAAGGCCAAAACATCATCAAAATAAAAGAAATGCATATGGAGCCAGAGTGTGCAACACTTGTTCTCTACAATCAAGTCTATTGTCAGTGATGAACACCTCATTATACTTCTCGTGTGTGTTACTTTTATATTTTTTGGAAAAGGAGTCCAGTATGCCAAGAAACACAATAGATTCTTGTTATTCATACCAAATTCTGAACCTGCAACATTTTTCCAGGCAAGGCTCTAGGTTTCCTTCTTCAATGTGTCATTCTGTCATTTTTATACGATATGGTGCACATAAAAAGTGGTAAAATGTGAATCACACATCTTGCCTCATGTATTGTTGCGTCAAATTAAAAGGCAGTTTTTTTGCCCAATGTAATACTTACAGCACAATCTGGTGGCTCTGGTTAACCTTCCATTTAGAAAATTAGATTAGACATTGTTAATTTTGTAATTACAGCCTGCTGTTATTTGAGTCAGTAAATGTGTCACTTCCTTGTTAGCTGTACTTCAAAAGGTGCAGTGTGTAATTACGGAGAAAGATAGCTGATTATTAAGTCTCATGATTTGTGGGAATGAGATTCAGCATTCAACTATCTTTTTCCAGAATTGCACACTGAACCTTTAAAGTTGCTTCCTTCCTTAAAACTGCTCAAATGTCAATAGATAGATAGATAGATAGATTTGTCTATCAGCAGTGAAGTTCTTAAAGGTTGTCAGAATTGGTACAAAAATCATTAATCAGTCTGCCAATCAGGGTTCTTCGAGTCACCCTATGAATGAATTAAAATCATGTTTTAACCTTGTCCCTAATTACTTATTGATAAGAAAAAGTGATATTCATAAAAAAAGTCATACTCACTGGAGACACTCCAACAACAGTGGCTCTTATTATTGATACAAATGTCAGTTTCATAATCTGTCAGTCTGGTGTTAGACATTCATCCCATGCACACAGGAATAACCTGTCTTAACCTTTTCCCTGATTATTTATTCATATGAACACAGTTCAGATAAATGTGCCCTGCTCTGGGCTTTCTAAAATATTCCATTTCCTCTTTTGATTCCTCCCTTAAATTAACATTAATGGAATCATCAGAGTGCAAGTAAACAGAGTGCAGCATTTCTGCGCTGCTTGAGTGCACACAGCTCTGTTCCTGGTCTTTCTGCTGTTTATCCATCATCTTAGTGACCAGGGTGTTTTTAAGCTTTAAACAACTGACTTCATTTGATTAGACTTTTTTTTTCTTCTTTCTTGACACTGAGAGAGCACTGACCAGCCATCCACTCAGCTCCTCATTTTGAAATTCCATTTGGCTTAATAAATAAATAATGTTATTCTCCACCACATCCTCATCCACTACCAACCCCCCCCCCCCCCCACCCCCCCCAGTCCAGCTTATAAATTCTGCTTGTTTATGTGTTTGTGAGGCTGCTCATGGGAATAAATGAGGAGCAAAGAGGTAATATTTTTGGGCTGTTTCAGTCAGTTGTAGCAAGAGAGAGATCATCATGGAGCCTAGAAAGAGTGCTTTGTAGATTCAGTGATTCAACAGCATCAACCACATCCACAGCTTCCTTTGAAAATGTTCAGATCCTTTCACCTTTTTCTATATTTTGTCACCATTACCAAATCGGCTAGGATATTTACTTTAGGATATTCACAAACTTATCCCAAAACTTCTCCGACATTTTTGTTGTAGTGCGAAAAAGGCACTCTACAACAAGGGCATGATTACAGTATACATAATGGAAGATGTGTGTGTGCTTAATATGTCCCTGCCAATTTATTGGTTAAAAATAATCTAGATAAAATGCTGTGCTTTAACAAGGAACCTTGCACCCAAATAATCATTGGCAAATATAATTATAATCGTAAATGAACTCAACAAATTGCCATCATTATTATTACTAGCAGTTCTGCTATTACAGTGTACTGCAGTTCTGCGTGTGTTTTTGCCAAGTGGTGTTGCCATGACGGGCGGCATGGTGGTTTAGTGATTGGCATAGTGTTGTAGTACTCAAGATCGGTCTTTTTTGAGGGTCTTGGTCTCGTCTCGGAATCGAGGGCATTTTTACTCGGTCTTGTCTCGGTCTCGGACTGGGCGGACTCGGGTTTTTTGAACGAGACCGGTCGAGACCACCACTGATGCTTTTTGTCCGTGCTTTACTGATAAGAGTGAAAAAGACCATCTCAAAAACAGCTAATAACTTCAAATCATTGGTAGCATAAAGATTTCCCCCAGCTGCAGCTGCTACCTGCCCGGTGTCAGTGTGAGTGACTGACACGCCCCCTGCACACAGAGGATGGAGATGGCAGGAGGAGAGGCTGTGTGAACTCTAAGATTTGTTTCAGTGTGCTCTGCAACAACAGAGCAGATATTGTTTTTGTTGTTATATTTATTTAAAAGCAAACTTAAATAAAAAAAACTCACATTTTGATGTTTTTTATGATTTTCCTTTGATATATATGGTCTTGGTCTTGTCTCGGTCTCGACCTTCAAAAGTCTTGGTCTTGTCTCGGTCTCGGTACTCTCTGGTCTCGGTAATGT